ATCAGGAAGGGGGGCTAGGGAAGGGTAAGTGGAAGGAGGTGAGGGAGGAATGGGGTACGTGCCCCCGATGGGGAGGACTGGGCTGGCTCTGCGGGCTTCTGGGGGTGGAAGCTCTCCTGCAGCCCCCCAATTGCCCCCTCTCCCCAGATGGCAGCCTGCGGCAAGTGCAGCTGGGCTGATGGCCGAGTGCTGTGATGTGCCGAGTGTGGGCACTCAGGGCACTCCAAGCCAGGTCTGCTTTGCAAGCGGGGCACCCCTGAGAACTGTCTGTCCGGGGTGGGGGGTCGGGTCCCTTTAAGCACAGCCCTCGGCTAGCCTGAGGCAGCAGCTCCACGCTCTAAGTCCTCCTCTGATGCCCTGCCGGCACTGCTTCCAGCCATCCTTAACCCCGCTTCAGGGTCCACTTAATGTGGATGCGCTAGTTTGAATTAGCAAAACGCTAATTCGAACTAGTTTTTAGTTCTAGATGCGTTAGTTCGAATTAGCGCTGTAGTGTGGACATACCCTTCGGCTAGCCTGAGGCAGCAGCTCCACGCTCTAAGTCCTCCTCTGATGCCCTGCCGGCACTGCTTCCAGCCATCCTTAACCCCGCTTCAGGGTCCACTTAATGTGGATGCGCTAGTTTGAATTAGCAAAACGCTAATTCGAACTAGTTTTTAGTTCTAGATGCGTTAGTTCGAATTAGCGCTGTAGTGTGGACATACCCTTAGATTCTAAGTGGGACTGTAATTAACCACTAGAACAGGATGCCAAGGGAAGTACACATTTACGATCAGTCAGAGCAGTCGAAAATGTTGTAGTTTAGCCAGAAGTTATCTTTACGCCGGAATCGCAAGGTGAAGTTCTGTGGGCACAGGTAACACAAGATGATGCGAATGGTCCCATTGGGTCTTGAAATCTATCAATACATATAATATAGTCCACACCGTGAGGAATACCGCTTGTGCTGCCTACTGTTCTGTATAGACTCTGCTTACATCCTGGCCTGGATTAAACACTCCTGGAAGGAATTGCCATGTGAGCTAAAGATTAGGAGACATTTGCTCCAGTTTCACCTGCAAAAACCTGTGATCGGAGTTCTGCTTTCATCTCATAGTGCCTGGTATGTGGCTAAAACAGAGAGAGCCAATCTCACCTCAGACTGTCAGAATGCAGAGCCAATACCCCAAACTGGGTATATTCTATAATTAGATTCCACCAAAACAGTAACAAATGTGCACTCCTGGACTCCTATATTCGTCTCATCATGGAGCCATGGATAGTCCCTGTAAGCTCTCCAGCTCCTTTTTACCACCCAGACTAAATGCACTTTATGATGAAAATGTATAAACACCAAACACTCACTGTACAACAGGTTCCTCCAGCCCCAAAGGACCAGTCATTTTCTCCAGGTCAAGGTATATGCCAGATCTCACGAAAGACAATGCTGAAGTCAGTTTCTCTAGTAAAACTAACTAAAAGATTTATTAGCTAAGAAAAAGAAATGAAAGTTACTGAGAGGTTAAAGTGGGTAAAATACATCACAGGTGGCCACATCTTACAAAGTGTCAATAGTCATTGTTCGAGGTCAGCCATAAAGATGTGCTAATGGACTCAATCATGATGAGGGATGGTTGGGACACTATCAACCTAGCACTCAATGAAGGTGCAAACAGCTCTTTGTGTAGATTCCTGTGTCAGGAAGGGTACTTTCTATTGACTTTGATTCTTAGCTGCTTCGTTTTAACTACCCAATCTGCAGGTGCTCACTGATTCACAGCTCTGCCTTCCTGTTTTTCCCTTTGATTTTCCATACCCTCTGCTCCCTGTCTCCCACCCACCCCTTTTTTTCCTCCTCCTCCCTTCTCTTATTTGTTTTGGGTCTGCACATCCTAAACTCAAAAATCCGGTCATCTGAAGAAGTGAGCTGTGTCCACAGAAGCTCATGATACCATCTATGTGTTTTGTTAGTCTATAAAGTGCTACCAGACCATTTGTTATTTTTTTCCTGTACAGACTAACTCGGCTACCCCCTGAAGCATCAATTAAAATGTAAGGCTTCGACTCCAGTTGAGGGGCTGTTCAGTTACACAGAGACACATGTCATATGGTTAAGTTATGTCTGTACTGGTAATTGAACAGCAAAGCTGCTGTCATTCAGCCTGCCCCTCCGTAAAGTATAAAAGTTTTACTGAAGTAAGTGCCAGTGTGAACAGTGCATTGTCGACAAATACATTCTCCTGCTGACAATGTGAACATCTCTTTTTGGGAGTGGAAGTATTTTCTCCAGCAAAAGAACTGAACAGTGGCTACGTTGCCTGATTTTCTAAAAGTTGTGTCATGTGGACAAAGCCTTAGTTACAATTTCATTTCATTTTTATGAAAAAGGTGACATCACGCCAACTCTTATCCTGACATATCTGAGATCTAAGATTAATTAAATACAAAGATAGCGATCACAGGAAACAGGTGAAAACAATAAAATTATAGTTTCACTGGCTTTCATGCATCTAAAGCAGTGTTTCTCAAAAGCTGCTAGCAGGACACTCCAATTTGTTTAACTTCTCCACAGTCATGGAGTCTCACGGCTCCCATTGGCTACAGTTTGCCGATTGCAGCCAGGGGGCGCCATGGGAAGCAGCAGCCTGGTCCCCGCAGTAAAACAAACCGGAGCAGTCTGTTAGCAGCTTTCTGAAATGGGCTCACTTTGAAAAACCCTGATCTAAAGCAAATGTAATTACTGTGTACATTCCATGGGATATAGGACATAGGATAACAACCCTTTTGTTCTGTTCTAGCAAGTGAAGCAATACACTTCACACTTCCTAGAGACCTGCCCTAGCTAGCTGTCTGTGGTGGCACATTCCCGAAATAAACAGGAGATGTAATCAGAAGTCATAGCAGGACAAAGCTATGCAGCAGTGACGCACTGAGGATTTTTATTCTGTGTGCAACTTTGTTTTGAGGGTGAGCCTTTTGTAGGGTAAAGAATCATCTTTGAGTGGAAGGTGGGATCTTGCCAAATGTCATTCCATTGCCACTTCCGACTGATCCTGGGTTGCATGGCATGATGATCAGGAAACACAGTGGATCCCATTGGCCACGGCAGATGAAATCCAGTGCAAGTGCATCTCTGGAGGATGACTCCACTCCCTGCTCCTCATGCAGGTGCTCATTCCCCTCTTCACGGGCCAGGCAGCGCCCCCAGAGAAGCTGCAGGAAGTTATCGATGAGCTGGCTGCTTCCCTGGTGCAGTTTGAGGAGAAGTTCCTGCAGGACAAGCCCTTCATCATGGGCAGCGAGATCTCCCTGGCAGACCTGATGGCTGTCGTGGAGCTCATGCAGGTGAGTCGTGGGACTGTAATAATGAAGACTCGGCACAAGCAAAAGCTGATTTTATCTAAACCTCCTGAAGAGTGAACAGCCTGCAGTGCCATTTCCCTAGAGCAGGGGCACAGATCTAATTCAACAGAGGGAGGGATTCCCACGTACATTCTCTTCCCAGACCTATCTGAGCCCTCGCCACACCAAGCCTACAAGATGCCAACTGGACACTACTCCAGTCACAAAGTCGGGAGGAGCTTTTTCAGAAACCAAATTTGGTGGATCCGGCTTAGATTTGTTGATCGGTCCCGGGCCAGCAGAGCTGAGATCTTACAGAGCAAGAGAATTCATCCCTCTCCTAACTCCCTGTCCCGGGGCCAACAAACAGCAGTGCTTGCATCTCTGGAGTGAAGAGTTTTGCAAGGTGGAATATGCTGATAGTAGAAGGGCGGCTGGATTGTTCCAGCTAAAACCTCAGCTTAAGTTACAGTGCTGGTGGTGGACTTTGTTGCTATCTACACTACAAATAGCAAGGAGCTACCAGTGGAAATGCAGCCCCCATCTCTCTAATGCTGTCGCTGAGCGTTACTCAAAATAAGTGCGAGTCACATATGTGATCTGTTGTCAGGAGTGGGTCGGGGACTATTAAAACTATAGAGTCCAGTTGTTTCCCCACCGGAGATATAGGTAAACTAGGAGAGATTCCCACCTTTTGGATGCTCTCCCACAAAATGGTGACTCCCCTTGTGGGTGTCTCACTGCAGTTGTCTCTCTCTGTGCAGCCCGTTGGAGTCGGTTGCCACATCTTTGCGGACAGGCCCAAGCTGGCAGCATGGCGCAGCCGGGTGGAGGAAGCTGTGGGGAAGGAGCTCTTCCAGGAAGCACATGAGCAGATCCTGAATATCAAGGAACTCAGCAGCATCGAAGTCGAGCCAAAGCTGAAAGAGCTTCTGGCACCGACACTGATGAAAATGCTGAAATGAGTTTATGTTCTGTTACCATTTAAAATGCATCTTTCCGCCTTCCTGCTCCTCCAGCACCGTGAGTAACTGCCCTTCACAAGACTGAGAATGCTCTGTAGAATTTTCCATGTGGAAAATGCAAACCTGCCCTCCCCTGATCCATTTTAGCCTCTTTAGGGTCAGATGCTGGTGAAATCCTAGAATCAGAAGCTATAAATTCATGGGAAGCATCTGAGAACTTAGGTCCAACAGGTTATTTTTTAATATACAGTTCTGGGTTTTATTTTTAGCCTTCCTAATCCTTGAAACTTGGTAGAGATAAGAAACTTTTTCCTGGCAAATTCTGAGTTAATCTATAAGTTGGGGACTCTTGACAGCTGTATGCCCCAATGTTCCCTTTCTTCTTTCTAGGGTAATGAGGCAAAACCCCACTGTGTTTTCATGTTCTTTGTAGCCTTCTCTGCTGCTTGTAGACTTTCCTGAGATGTTAAACACTGAAAACTATAAATGATTGGTCTCCATTTCTTTTACATGTAACCCATATAGATAACTCAAAGGCTGTGTCTAGACTGGCAAGTTTTTCCGCAAAAGCTTGCCTGCTGTCTACACTGGCCACTTGAATTTCCGCAAAAGCCCCTGGCCCCCAGAACTCCATCCTCAGCCCCCCTCTCCCCAGCCCAGAACCAAAACCCTCAGTCAATATCTGCCCTTGGGGTTGGGAGGGGGGACGCCGATTGCATGGTTCGCCTAGAGCACCAGTTGCTGGCAGCTAGTCTAGGGCCGCCCCTGCCTGGGACAAGTCATATGTATGCCCCCCCTTAATATTTTTTGTACAGGGTGAAATCTGATTACAGTGAACTTCAAGGGCAGCCACTGCTGCAGGTTGAATATTGATAATGCCCAGCTGTGTAATTATAATGTTATATGGTAGCTCTTTTTTTATTCATTATAATAAAGTTCATATATTTAAAAAACCCTCATTCATCATGATCAGCATCATGCCACTAACATTCTGAGATCCATCTTCTGGAATTCCTTGCAGCAAACTCTGCTCCCGGGTCACGGTGACCCAGCATTGAGGTTACTAGGCAGGTCCACCCAGCCTCTCTTGAGACGCAAAAAAAACTTCACTCCCTGGAAGCCTCCAGCGAAAAGCCTGTCTGCTCTGGCTGTGTTTGGGAAGGCACCATCCGGTGATTTGAGAAACTGAAGGGCTTAAAGTGCCCTACTAGTTCCTAGGATGAATCCTTGTAGCACTGAAGCTGTATTTCCTTTATCCATCTCTGAGGCAGGTCCACCCAGCCTCTCTTGAGACGCAAAAAAAACTTCACTCCCTGGAAGCCTCCAGCGAAAAGCCTGTCTGCTCTGGCTGTGTTTGGGAAGGCACCATCCGGTGATTTGAGAAACTGAAGGGCTTAAAGTGCCCTACTAGTTCCTAGGATGAATCCTTGTAGCACTGAAGCTGTATTTCCTTTATCCATCTCTGCCCCTGTTAGTGTTAGACTCTGGACAAGGAGTGCAGGGAGTAGGGGTCCAGAGCACAGGAGGCGTCTGGAGGTGCACTGGATTTGCTGGGTGGGGCTCACTCGAACCTCAATTTTTCTCCCTCCCCCTTCCCTCTCTCCCCACTTTTCTCCCTCTTTCCACACCATTCTCCCTTTAATGTCTCCAATTCTCTGACTCTGACAGGAGGCATTCACATGCCTAATTCCCTCCCTGCCCTCAAGACAGATCTTCATTCTCCCCAAAAGCAAATTGCCAGCACTCATGACTCACAAAAGTTGTCGCACCCTGGAGGCATCTATTGCAACACACTTTTTGTCTAACAGGGATTGTGATTGACTTACCCTGAGCTGTGTTAACGGAGGGTGGGGTGAGTTCACACCATCGGTCTCAATGAAGCCTGTTGGTGGTTCATCCAGATATCCTACTTCACTCTCTATCTAAAACAGAACAGGTTTGGACCGGCCAGTGCTGAATATATCCCAAAGCAAGTGTTTGCCAGAGAGAGATGTGCCAAGATCAGAAACTCTAGAAGAGGCATTTTGGGGATTGTAATAAAGTCCAGAAAATTCCAACCACCTGAGCATGGTCACAGTCTTGTGACAGCTGCTTGCCTAAAGCATCCTATTGTTATTCTGTTATTGCATAGAGATCACTCTGAACTCAGGATTGTATTTATGGTGACTTCTTGACAAAGTATATGACAACAAACTATCCTCTCAGCAAGAACTTTCTGCTTAGCAGCTAACCACTCCCCTGGAAGACATGCAGCGAAAAAATCTAAACCCATTTTAGGGACTTTCAGACAGAAATTCACCAGATAAGTCACCAAGCGCGCTTGGAGACATGAAGGTATTTTGTGGCTCGGAGTAATGCCGCACGTCTTTTAAAGGGCTTTTGTGACTTTTCTGTTAGGAGTTCTGCTGCACTAACACATAAACCTTCTTGAACTGCAGCAAAATTAAGGAGGCAATGATGAGAAAACCCTACAAGGACTTAGGATGGTTCTGAAAACAGCCAATTGTGAAAGCACCCGAAAAGCATGTAATCTATAGTTCTGTGTGCTCACGTGGATGGTTTCCTGCTATCCTTGAGCCATAATCTGGTCAAGCAAAACTCTTCCCCCATTGTCAATGAAAATAGGATGACTAAACACATCAGGATTTTACACACTTTCAGTATTTGCTGTCTCAGCTGTGTGGGTTGCTGTTGTTGAAGTGCTGAAGGAGATAGACCCCGATAAGGTAGACTCCCCTCATGCAGCAATTTCCCTGGTCTGTCATGGACAGGTGCTCCGTGCCTGGAGCACTCACAGAGAAAAGCTGGGGCTCTGTGCTCAGCAACTCCCACTTTCGCCTTCCCGGAGCTTTCAGAGCTCTGCCAATAGCGACCCCTTTCAGGAGTTGTCTGGTTAGCCTTGCGTACCGAGTTTCATTTCACCTAAAAACTACCTGCTCATCAAATCAGACCTAACAGCATACAAGTGTCACAGCCACTGTTACTGAACAAAAACCTGCCGGCCCGCTTGTTTTTGCCATAGCGTGAGACAATACACGCACGGAAATATAAACATCGCCCTTACGCGTCAGTGAGCAGGGCTAGTCTGAAATCTGAAAAAGCCCTCATCTGCCATCGCAGTGGGCACGGAAGCGCTTTGTATGTGTCCTGCTGTAGCACAAGGCAAAGAGGAAAGTGCTATGTGCCGGTCGAGAGAAAGACTGGAGCCAGGGGGGCAGAATGAACACCTGCAAAGCGCTCGGGAGGAGGCTGGAGGGCACATCATTTGCCGGGCGGGGGGAGCAGGGATGCTGCTGCGTGTCCCAGCAGAGCGCTGTCTTCAAGTCAGTAGAGGGCTCCCCTCCCCACGTGGCAGGGGAAGCTGGAAACACCAAAGTGCACACAAAGTTCCCTGCTGGAGCCAAGCCTCGGCAGAATCCCAGGGGGAAATTGCAGGCTGGTGCTTCTAACCCATCTCCATCGTCGTGAGCAGCACATTTCATTAGGGTGTGTACCCAGGGAGTTTTTTTTTTAAAGGCGAACATTTCAATCATAAAGGACATTATTTTTATTCATTAAACAAACTGAAGAAACTAAAACTTAACTCAACTTAATTTTTTTAAAATTAACTAAACTTAACTTAAAAAATACAAACTTAAAAAATGAGACACAAAATACCAAATTTTTGCTGTAGTGATAACCAGGCGTATACAAAGATACAGTCAATTTTCATGATCTTTATCTTTAACTAGATAATGAGCTAACCCAAATTGACCAAAACAGATTAAGGTTTCTTCATCTTCCTGTCCTAGAGAATGAGACCTCGCTCACCAGGTGTTATGGACTTAAATTCCTCAATCACATCATTGTAATAAACTGATGAAGCCAATTCTTGTCCAATGTACAAAATCAGGAGTGAGTCGAGGTGCTGTGGGGACATTGTACTTCTTAGTTTGTTTTTTACATGTGCTAGTTTCGAAAAGGCTCTTTCACATGAACAGTTTGTACCAGGTAAGACTGCAAAGCATTGACCACATTTGGAAAAGGCCCGGAACATGGAAGAACGATCCGATTCCTTTAGCCAATCAAGCCACTCTCTGGAGGTGTTCGTGCTACTTTAGAAACAGATCCGTCATAACTCTGAACAGGGCTGGCTTTAGGCCGATTCACCCAATTCCCTGGATGGGGCCCTGCACCTAAAGGGGCCCCACTCGCTGAACCCAGAAGTCAGCCAGGCACCATGGACAGCGAGTTAATATTCAGAGACGGGGGCCAGACTCCAGCAATATTTGGAGCTGGGTCCCTCCCCTGGCTCTGCCTGGAGTGGGCCCCAGACCCCACCTGCCAGCCCCCCCGTGTGGCCTCCCACCTTGGCCCCAGAGCATCCCCCTCAGCCCTGGACCGTCCCTGTCATGCGCGGCTTTCCGTGCAGCTCCCCCTTGCTGGCTGGTGCTGCCATGCATGGCATTTGCAGGTGGGCAGGGATCTG